AGAAGCAGTCTACGATCAACAACAGAAAGTCTTATGCAGAAGAAAGAGGCCTAATGTGTGTCATGGGACAGAGTGACAGAGAAACATCAGAAGGATGTGCATTGATTTATGGGGGAAATCTTTGAAAGAGATGGGCAGCAGGCACACAAATCCAGACTTCAGTATGCAAATAGACACGTGGATAGGAATACAGATGAATGCAAACAGAGACACAGTGCAAGAAGTCAGCAATGTAGACAACAATTGTCCCAGAAGATGAATGGCTGTCTGCCTCTGTTATAAATTCACTGGAATTCAAAATCGGTGGAAGATGGTGACTGAACGTTTGCATTGTCTGAGATGGATGTTGGTGAGGAAAAAGTCTGATGTGTTCAGTTTCCAAGAGTTAGCATGGGGAAGAGTTTGCGGATAACAGAGTAAACAGTTTAGGCCCTGTGTTCTCTCAAATGAAAAGGCCTTGCATTTCTTGAAGGAATGCGTATCACCATCTACTTTACATACCAGAGTTTTAGACTAAAATTACTTTCTATTAAGACAAAGTTGTAGGTTAGAATGCTTGAGAGAAGTGGAGCGTGCTCTATTCACACAAGGAGAGAACTGTCGGTCAGGCTACTCCTTGTTGCTCTTTAAAATAGTTACTGAATCAAGTGTGCACCCCCAGAAAATTAAGCACTGGTTGGCTCAATATCTGTAAAACTGACTGAATTTTAGCCACTGCCACATTTTTTGGGGATCAGTTTGTTGCGGTGGTCTTTTTGAAATAGTATGGCTCAAAATGTTAACGTTTTGAAAGTTTTATTAAAATTCATCAAGTGGTTAATGAGATATTTTGCTGCCAGATAGTGTTGACTCCAGTAGTAATTGGCAAAGTTTAAAACAAATATCTCACAAAATGAGCACAAGATCTTGAGGCGTACTGAGTGAGTGAAATATTTAAATCTTTGACATTTTCTGTTATCAACTCTGGCTCTCTCAGCAAAATACTCATGAAGCGCATTAAGTTTTTTTTAAAGATTCTTAAAGTAAGCGCTGAATTTACATCTATAACTGATTAACCTGTACAGTGAAGTTGGTTCAAGATGGCTGCCACAACTAATTAATCTAATTTAGTTTTACAGACATTAGTTCATTTTTGGCATGGTGGGTGGCATGATGGTGCAGTTGGTCGAAAAGTTGCATCTCAGAAAGAATATTGCTGGTTCAGATTCCCTCCTGGGACCTTTCTGGGTGGAGTTTGCATTTTCTCTCTGTGCATGCATGGATTGTTTCTCCTGGTGCTCCAGTTTCCGCCCACAGATCAAAAACCTGCATGTTAGCCTACTTGGTAAATTAGCCCAACATAAATTTACTTAAATTAACCTAGATGTGAATGAGATGTTTGTCTCTAAGTATCCCTATGATGAACTTGCGACCTGTCCAGAGTGTCCCCCGCCTCTTGCACAGTGACTGCTGGATATGGGCGCCAGAGACCCCCGTAACCTGAAAAGGAAGAAGCAGATAAAGATGATGGATTTGGTGAAGTAGTAGATGACAGTCATTCCTAGCGCGTATTTTGCGTGCTAATAGATCACATGGAACTTTATTTTCAAGGTTTGGCCAAAATGGTAACAACTTCAACATTTCACCCATTGATAGTGGGTGAATCGGGGGCAGAGGCAGGGCAGCCGACTCGGGACCAGAAAGTCACGGTTTGTCTCCCAGCCATTCCCACATGTCATGGTATTTCTGAGCAAGATGCCCAATCCCTAACTGCTCCCCGGGCGCCTACATAGCTGCCCACTGCTCCACCTGGGTGTATCTCACATGTGATGGGTGAAATGCAGAGAACGAATTTCACCATTGTACTGTATGGGAACATGCAATGATGACAATCTCAAACTTCCCTTAAGGAATTATACGTTCATTCATTATTATTGTTCAGCTGTGAAATTAAATTTGTCAAAAGATTTGCATTACTTCAATAAATGATACCACTTTAATTTTGTAAATTTACTCTTAATATATAAGGGGGAAGTGGTGGTGCAGAGGTTAGAGAAGGTGGACCTGTGATCGGAAGGTCCCTGGTTCAACTTCCCGGACATACGACATCAAAATGTAGGTGGGAAAGGTGAAGAGCCCACACCTGCCTACACCCTTATTTGCCCCACTCTGGTCCCTTGAGCAAGGCCCTTAACTCCCACCGTCTGCTCTCCCAGGCACCCTAGATGGCAGCCCCCTGCTCCACACATAGGGCTGTGGTAGCTTTAATTTACGGCACCTTTCTGTACAACCAAAACACTCAAAGTACTTACCATCATTAACCCACATTTAAACAGCATACATGCATTCACGCATTTAAACAGCACTCTGCTACATCTCTATAAAGCTAATCCGAGTAAATCATTCTAAAAAGACTAACAGTGCTTTAGCTCATATCCATACACCCATGGAACACACATCAGAGGCAATGAAGAGTTCATTGTATGCCCAGGGACACTACAACATGTACTGCATAGCCCTACTAACTTACACACTTACTTTTTTAAAGTTTGTTCCTGACGTAAAGCTTCTGTAAATGTATCCAGTGTCTTGCAGTTAACTTGAGCTGCAGCTCCGTCTTCTACACTGGCACCTCAGCTCAAGTAACCCAGCTCATTTTATTATCACTGATCAGTGCTAGCACAACTGACAGCTTATTGTTCAGTTGGACTTCAAAGGCTGATTTTTGCAATAACGTGCCAAAGGTCTTTTGATTGTCGCATTAAAACGTCCCAGCATTTCTCTCAGTTCATAATAAGAAACCCTGTAAAATTGACATGAGCGCAAACTCAAGATGTCACCCTGCTTCAGTCTGAATATAAAACAAAAAGGATGAGGCTTTAGGGTCGTCAGATTCACCGTCACCGTCTCATATCTTTTAAATCAACACAAGAACAGGACAAAGACTGGAAAGTATGGCTTGAATAAAAGGTACGTCATTGAGATTCTTAGAGGTGATTTTACCTATCACCTTGAAATCCACTGCTGCGGTTATTGAAGTTTCTATTACATCAGCCCTGAGTCTGCTGGCAGCACGGCTAAAAAGTACTTTCATTTGGGTCACTGAGGTTATCTGATGGTAACAGTCTGCAGGTTACAGCTGTATCACGACCACGATGCTCCTGGGGTGTTTTTTCTCATTACAAGGCACTGCCGATTACTGGACTGATAGCCTTGTCTGCTGTAATTGACCTGTAGCGTCAAACTGATGCCATCTGTCTTCATACAGATGTAACGACCTTGTAATATATCGACAGTTTATTGCATTGACTTTGACACAGTGTGTTGAGAGATAATTTCCTTCAGGGGTGGGGTCAAAACTGAACAAGGGGCTGTTGACCATTCATCATAACAAAGCAGGACAAACGTCTTTTTGGTTTCATTGGTGAACCATGGTCTTCCACTTTTCATTTATTTCTGGAAGTTTAAATGTCTCATGCTCTTTCCTCTCAAAGATGTGTCTTTTCTTTATTTATCTTTAACTGAGGCTGGTGGGGTGGCTGAGTGTTTAGAGCAGTCGTCCTCCAATGCAAGAGTTGGGGGTTCGATTCCACCAGCAATCACATGCCTAAGTGTCACTGGGCAAGACACTGCACTCCTCATTGCCTCCGATGTGTGTCCCATCAGTGTACTAACGCACTGATTATTCTTTGTATTGAGTACCATGCTGATTATCCTGATCTCATGTTGCTGACTATGTCATGCTGCTGTATTCATTCATACCCATCTATTCACTACATGTTTGGGCTGCTGTTTAATTGGGGGGCTGCCATTATTCTACACCTCGGAAGTGTGTCAACATTTCTATCTCCGTTAATGCGGCCGGAACCACGAAGTCTACCCCCACAAAAGTTATATCAAAACGACCGGCTCGGCCCCGTGATGTGTGTTATTACTTTCATTGGCATTTTGAGTTACCATGGCGACGTAATTTGCAAACAAAGACGTAATATTTCACCAACTCCAAGAACTAGTTGGTGACTGCCCACTTATTATTTTACACCTGAAAAGCGCATCTTTTTCAACTTTAATGAAGCCTGAACCGCAACGTGGACCCCACAAAAGTTATATCAAAATGACTGGCTCAGCGCCGTGAAGTGTACAAGTTTTATTGGCATTCGCAGTTACCATGGCGACATATTTTGCTAAGAAAGATGCCAGATTTCCCATAGGAAACGAATAGGAGAAAACTCTTCACAGAAACTGAGTAATGTATGGAGCCATTTTGGGTCTACATGCAAGGAAGGCAGTGCATTATGCAATGCATGGAAGGCACCTATTATTACCTATTATCACCCATTATTATTAATAATAATTAATAATAATAATAATAATTAGCATGAAATACTAATGTTAATAAATAAATATATTAATAATAATAATTAATATTAAATATTGGGAATATTCCTAATATTGATTATTAATAATATTTTAATAATAATTAATACATTAACAATATATTAAAGTTATTAATATTGATAATTAATAATTTGTGTTAATGATTAATGCTAATAATCACCCATATTAATATTTATTAATAAAAATAATTTAATAATAAATAGGCAGTCCCCATCAAAGTTTCTTCAGGAACTTTCTAGTATACCTTGTTATTTTACATTATTAGTGTTTTCCGTATATCTTAGATCTTTACTGTATTGGTTAGCATTTGTTAGTGTATATCTTAGTGTATCTTAGATCCTTATATACTGTTTCTTTTTATACTTTTTTTATTTTTGAGTATAACTGGGACCTTGAGTACACAATTTTGTTCCACCTCATGCACCACATGTGGTGAGAATGACAATAAAGGAACTTGAACGTGAACTTAGATATAGTAGAGTGCTGTATGAATGGGTAAATGAGGACACAAATTTTCATGTAAAGAACTTCTCTCTTGATAAGATACAAAGGGGCTATATAAGTACAGTCCATTTACCATTTACCATTAACTACCAGGAACTTGCTTTGTTTTTGTGTTTCAGAGCCGGGACGGACGCTTTGAAGTACGCGGCCGTCACGGCAAGTCAGTGTTGACCATCAGCGGAGTGCGCCTCACCGATCTGGGCCGATTTGACTGCGAGGCACAAAGCAGGATAGGAGGGCATCAAAAAAGCATGTTTCTTGACATTGAGTGTAAGTATGGTCGACCTTTTTTTTCCGCAGAATGCATCTAAAAATCTACAGCAGTGGTCCCGAAACAGTTCAGTGTTCAACTCACAAAATAAAAGCTGCAGGAACTTGTGACCCCGATAGTTGTTGGCTCAAGTATACAAGCATGCTAATATGCTAACAGCCTCATCAACTACTATATTACGTTTTCATGAGTGACAACTGAGCCTATCGACCCCCTCTTGGAACTTTGCTAACCATTTATCTATTCTGCATGTAAGGCAGATTTATTTTGATTGTCTTGTGTGTTTGTGTGTTGTTTTGTTTCTTCACTGGAATCTTTTGACTCTTAGAAAGTTTTCTTTAGCTATGATTACCTACGCAAAATTCTTGGATTGAATTGAAATGTATTCAGATTACATAATCCAACTGTATCGTTTACACGGGCACATTTCGATTATGACGAGCATTTACATGCAGCGGGCTTTATTCAGAATAGAAGTACTGACATGCGCAGCGCGGCAAACTTTCCTTAATAAACACAGAGGAAGAAGATCTACTTCCGGGATGAACGTAAACAAACCTGAGCGCCCAAAATGGACTCACGCCAGGTTTGAATGACAGTAGAGATGTTAATGCACTCCCTGATTGAGCTACAGGTAATACAGATCATTTGGAGCTCTTTCAAAGTTTCTAGTAGAAATGTCTCTCACCGACCAGTTTTACTTCCCCAACATATTAGCATCTAGCAGGTGGAAATACGTGAGGTAAACGCACATGTGCAGTAGGAATGCGCAAAATATACGGTACATGGTGGAAACGATAGACGATAAAGATCTGTCTTCTACCGTCTAATTGCAGTAATGCTGTGTCTGATGTAAAATCAGAGTTCTCAGTTTAATAATTACTTTTTTTGAGTTGAAAACTGTGCGTAAGTGGTGGTAAAGCCCTTTCTTTGAGAGCTAAGTAGCGAAGCCACAAGCTAACTATAGCCGGCTTGCCGCAGTGTTGCCATACTCGGACGCATGTGCAAAACGCTGTGTGCCGTCGAAAGTTGTTTTTTTTCCCTGTCGAAAGTTAAAGTAAGCGTTGGTCAGCTTTAGAGAAACCTGCTCTCTGATCTGTGAAAAGGACGCTGTGTTGTGTGATTTTACTGCAAGACTGTGGTCAAAGCCACAGAGGAAACTGGTTGCCATTTTGTGTCAGCTATCCATTAAAGCGGAAGGAGACGCCCACTAAAGGGTTGGAGGGTGAAGTGTTTTCAGTGTGAAATGCTGCTCTGTTGCTGTTCATTTGTTAAGTGAGAATACTGGAAACTTTTAAGAGTTAACAACATATTCTTTTGTTTAAAACATATGGCTAAAACTACATTTGATATATTTTATATATTATATTTTGCACTGTTTTGCACTACAAGAAAGAAACCTAATACTTGATTTGTTTATTATTTGTAAACTCTCTGGACCTAGTAGTGGGATTTTCTTAATTGAGATTATTTTGTGGTATAGGAGTTTTCAAAATAAATGATGGCAAAAGGACACCCTATGGTTTTTTTCATTCCTATTGCAAGTTTTATACCAAAAACATATCGTAATATATATCGTTATCGCCACCTTTCACAATACATACTGTATCGTGATATGAATGTTATGCCATATCGCACATCCCTAATGCACAGTCAGGTCAGTTTTCCACAATCAGAATAAAATGATCAGATTAAGTGTTTACATGCACACTGTTCGAATTATGAATCGGCATAAAGCACCCCCCTCCTTCTGATTACAAATTCATTCTGATCGAGCTGAATCAACAAAGAATAATCCGTATGGGGCATTTACATGACACATTTTTATTCTGAATGGCCGTTTAATACGATTCTTTATGTTCATGTAAACATAGCTTCTATCTTGATTTTATTGGCATGCATTTTTTTTCCATTTTTACTTATCAATTATAGCCATTTCATGCCTTTAAGTTGTCTTTTTGCAGTCCCTTTGTCATCTGTCTCTTGAGATAATTATCATCCATCTTTCAGTGAAGCAGGTGATTGCACTGTAATTGCCTCTGTGTATGTGGGTGTGTGTAAACCAAAATCTAATAAATTTCCGGTGGATTTTAATGAAATTCTCAAAGTAATCATTGGCTGTACATCTACAACTGATTAACTTTTGGAGTTAATCTGACTCAGGATGACTAGAATTAATTGATTTTTGGAAAAGGAACAACAAAATGTTTACTAACAGTCAATTTTTCAGGTATTGACCTACGATTTGGTATGGTAGTAGCTGAAAGTTTTTCCCCCACACCTTTTCTCAACTCTCACATGTTACACAAAATCTTGCAGTATTGCCTGCAGTAACCCATAAAGAAATGTTATTTGTAAGATTGAACCAAAAAAAGCTAAAATCTAAGAAATGATTTGTGCTCATATTGTGATTTTTAATGGTCTTTCTTTTATATGTTGTAACTGATCATTTAGCTTTCTTCTTTCTATTTTTTTTAGGTAATCATATATTTGTGTTAGTGTGTGCCTCTTTGTGGTAGTTTTGTGTTTTTTATTGATTCTTTTAGATTCATTTTTTTGTGTTTTTCTGTATATATTTTTTTGTGTTCTTTGCTCCCCTGATGCCTCTTTCTGGTGGTCTTTTTCAATAGTTCTTCCACAAACCTTGAAGTACTTATGGATTTCTTAGTAACAGGTTTTATAATGTTGTTTTTTGCAGAGCACCATTTGTAAAGCTATTATCTTTGATGTAACCTCCACATACTGTTTGTATGTGAAAATTGTTTGTACAAAGCAACTTAAAAATACTTTTACATTTCTCCAAAGTACAATTTCTTTTTACGGACCGTTACATTTTTATCAGTATTTCATTCCAGCACCCATTCACCTTTTTCCACCAGTCTCCAGAAGGGTTAATTAGAGAAAGGAAATCGTGCATTGCCTTTCGTTTTCTCCCAGTGACAACTCCGCCACTTCCCAATAAGCACGCCCATCCCTCAGGGCTGCTTGTTGGGGGTTATTTGGGGCACGCGCCCCCCTGCCTAATGAGCTCTGAAGCAAAGATCTTCATTTTGGCTTTGGAATGATTAGCTTCATTACGAGAATGACTCTGATGCTCTAACTACACCAGAGCAAAGTGCATATTTTCACAAGAATCCACATTGAAGTTAAAAGAAACTACTCAGAAACATCAAATCAATTCAATTCAGTTTATTTATATAGCGCCAAGTCACAACAGAAGTCATCTCAGGGCACTGAACAGAAACATTCATTTATAAAAGTAAGTTAATAATATTAGTTATCTGAAGAGCAGACTGCTTTGAGTTTAACTTCATGTCAAACTCTCATCTTGAGCAAGCATGAAGGCGACAGTGGAAAGGAAAAAAAACTCCCTCATGAGGAAGAAACCTTTAGCAGAACTAGGCTCGGAACAAGCGGTCATCTGCTTCGACCGGCTGGGTTTGAGAGGAACAGGAAGGAGGAACAGATACACAATGGCAGGTCGAGAATCACATGCTCAAATAGAAATAATATCAAATGAAAACTATTCATTTGTAACAATTCATTAATGTAATCAATGTGTCCTCCAGTAATCTAAAGGCTCTCACAGACTCGGCTGTACTTCAGTCCGTGGAGGTCCACATGTACCGGATTAGAGTCGAAGCGGACGCCCACAAGGCATGTCCGCGCAAAGATCAATTTTTACGACTGCGTACGCGTACTCTGTGTCACACAATAAACTGCCCGGCGACGGACTGTTTTGTATGCAACACCAATGTATTAAATTCTCCTTCTTCATCCTTGATCTGGTCTAATGGCTTTCTTTTGTGTTTATTCCAAGAGGCAAGTGATCTCTTCCTCCTCATCTGTTTACGCCATGACTGAAATTGTGAGAAATTAAGGAATTTTCATGAGAGAATTAAAATAAGTCCAGCGTGGCTGCGGGAGGGTCTGGAGATTTCCTGGAGGGCTGGTCTGATGTGTGGGCTGCAGGGCCAGTGCTCCCTTGTTTTTCTTTTCTTTTCTTTTTAGAACTTTTAATTAACAACATAAAAACAAAGAACACTGCTGCTTTTTTTTGCGACCTGTCAATCTAGTAGGCGTGTCAGCAAATGACCAACTGACAAATTCAATTTGTCCTGAAGGTAAATGCCCCTTGCCTGCAGAGTTGGACTGCAGCCGCTCAAGGTGGATGCTCGAGTAAGTCTCAACCATCTGCGAACAGAGCGCACAGTTTTCGCACAGCTGACAGTCTGCCCGAGTCTGTGGGAGCCTTAAGCCTATGGTAGTATAACAAGCCAACCCTAACTATAGGAATTATCAAAAAGGAAAATCTTAATCCAAGTCTTAAAACTGGACAATGTGTCAGCTTCACGGACAGAAACTGGAAGTTGGTTCCACAAGAGAGGAGCCTGATAACTGAAAGATCTTCCTCCCATTCTGATTTTGGAAACTCTAGGAACCACAAGTAAGCCTGCAGTCTGAGAAAAAAGTGCTCTTTTGGGAAAATATGGAGCAATAAGAGCTCTAATATAAGATGGAGCTAGGTTGTTGAGGGCTTTGTAGGTTAGAAGTAAGATTTTGAATTCAGTTCTGGACTTGACAGGGAGCCAATGGAGAGAAGCTAAAATTGGAGAGATATGATCTCTCCTAACTCCAGTAAAGACTGGCAGCAGGATTTTGGATCAACCATTGCAATAGTCCAGTATAGACGTGATAAAGACATAAATCAATCCGATGAACATATTCAAAAAGAAAGCCAAAACAAAAATGAGTCCTACTGAAAACAATTTCATTTTATCTCACTGAGGTGACTTTTACGTTCAACAATTGCCTCCAAAACCTGCATAGTTCTTGAAATCCAGAAAAAGTCTGACGGCCCACTCACACACACATGCCCCCTCTTCTCCCAACATGACGCAAAGTTGCTGTCGTTACACTGTAAACTCGTTTTCTGCGGCGCCTCAGCTAACAGCTCGCTCTCGTTCTTCACACCGACTCTGCGGAGAGGAACAGGCTGTGAGTCGGAGTGTGGCAGGAATGAGCCAAACTAATGAACTCATTTACTAAGTCACTGCAGGCTGTGAGGGGATAGCACGTCCTCAACTGTGACAGAGAGCCAGGCATCAATCTCTTTAATGGAACCCTGCAAGTGAACATAAAACAACCATAATGTGTCTCCGAATGAGTTGAGCTGACTGGGCTGGGAAACGTCCGAACAACAACTCGCTGCGGCAATCGCTCATTGTTGTTCTATTTACTCAGGCAACTGAGCTCCTGTTCACATTCTTTATGCGTATTTCTGCAGCATACGAGAAGTTGAGTTTTTTTTTTTAATGCACTAGAATTTTAATTGATAACAAATAATCTTGTTTTAGCTCTAAATGGTTCTTTGCCTTGTAAATTGTAAAAGCTATCATCGTTTTGTTCCGCACAGATATCCCCAAGTTCTTGACGAACCACACAATTTTTTACTCGTGGGAGGGGAATCCAGTAAACATAAGCTGCGACGTGATGTCCAACCCGCCCGCCACCATGCTGTGGAGGAGAGAGCGCTTCACCATCTCAGAGGGGACCCCTAACATGCAGATACACAGTGCGGAGGGCAAGTCTATACTGGAGGTGGGTATAAATCCTAACATATGTTCATAATAATTACATATAAATAGAATGGGAGTGGTGGCACAGAGGTTAGATAAGGTGGGCCTGTGGTCGGAAGATCGCCGGTTCAACTTCCAGTACAGACGACATCAAAAATGTAGGTGGGATAGATGAAGCATCCACACCTGCCCCCACCCTCATTTGCTCCACTCTGGGCCCTTGAGCAAGGCCCTCAACCCCCCACCATCTTCTCCTCCAGGCGCCCTAAATAGCAGCTCTCTGCTCCACACAGAGGGCTGTGGTTTCGTCAGGATGGACATCCGACGTAAAAATAATGCAAATTAGTTCGCTGTGGCAACAATGCATGGAACAGCTGAAAGAAAGATAAATAATTGCTATATAAATAGAAACCTGTTTTGGACTACCATTTGCCAACTAAAGTTTAAATCTGCTTTCCAAATGTAGGAAAAAGTTTGAGTCACATGACTGAACTAGATCGGGCTGGACGAAGTCTATGTAGGTAAACAAATATGGTAGAATCAAACAGGAATAGTATCTTTTAGAAGACATTTAGGTGGATCAACTACCGTATTTTCCGGTGTATACGTCACATTTTTTGGCTTACATTTGTCAGCCCTGCGACTTATACGCAGAAGCGACTTATATACGTTTTATTTTCCATAAACATAACGCAATTTTTGACTGTCGCTTTAAATTTCGAAGAACTGCAACAGCGAGTCCTCGCATGCGGACTCGCTTCACTCAGCTGGTGCAGGCGGAGGAACACTGGAGAGCTAGCGGTTCCAGCCGTGATGGATGGATGGATGGATGGATGGATGGATGAATGGATGGATGGATGGATGGATGGATGGATGGATGGATGCCACCCAGGCGAAATGAAGCTGTTTTGACCATTAAATAAACACATAATAAATGTGACTTATATGCCAGAAAATATGGTAGATCGAATATAAAAAGGAGTAAAGGTCTGGTTATACTTCACAAAATGTAAAGACATCAGTTCTTGCTGACATGATTTGAGGTGGTATTTCACATGGACATGCCATACTCAAAGACAAACACTGTGTGAGAGAAGTCCTGATATTGTCCTCCACAGTGCAGCGCATCATGTGTGCAAACAGCAACAACACAAAAGGCACTGTTGTAAAAGTGGATGTTTACTTTCAGTTAATGGAGGAGCTGGAGGATGAAGTATTTCTCCTGTTAACCGAGAAGAAACGCTATTTTGTATATTTTTCACAAAAAAAACCCTGCTATCATTTTCGGCAGACAATGGGGGAATGTGCGCCTACACTGCCCAGCACAGGGAGAATCCCACCTGGTCATCAACACTCCAGCTGTCCAGGAGATATATACCCTCTCAGTCAACCATGGAGAGCCACATGTGTTGTCACACACAAAAATTATCCATTCTCCTTCTGCGAGTTTGTTTATCTTATGTTTCATTTGAGGAACAGTTATAATGACGTTTGTATTTTCCAACATCCTTGGCCAACAGCTTCTCAGCAGACACTGCTTGCAGATAGCAGCATACTGCAGTCATTTTTCATAAACAAACCCGCCCACGAAGTTCTGACAAATCGCACAATACTTGGCACAGACCCTGTAAGAAACTACTTCTGACTGGGGACAATGCACAAGACGAAATCTCAGCAGGAGGTGCAAGTAAAAAAAATTTCATGCGCACACAAGCAGCTTAATTTGTAAACCAAACAATGCCAGAATGCAAAGGGTGGTGGGTGGGGGGCATTGATGGTGCTGGTGGTGGTGGTGTGGGGGGGAGGGGGTGTCTGGGGGTCCTCCCCCAGAGAATTTTGAATAAAGTAAATGCCATTTCCTGCATTCTGGTGTATTTTACAAAGGTTTATGAAACAAAAGAGGTAAACTCAGTATTGAAATGACTGCAAAGCTGCAGCTCTGCAGGTAAGGGGTGTTCACTTCAGGACAAATTGAAGTCGCTGATTGTTGCTTACACAATCCTAATGATGATTTCTTTATTTTTCAGGGGTGCTGAGTTAAAATTTAGGGGTGCTTGAGCGCTCCTAAAAAAAGCTCAAATCACTACTGAAGCCCGTCCATATTTATAATTTAGGCTATTTTTAAACGCTTTATGTGTGATTTACATGTGTATTAAGTGCAGGATCATTCAGATAACTCCTGCAGTGATGACACATCAGATTGTTCACAAAAGAGCAGGAACTTATGCGTAGTGCAAAAAACGTTTAATTATATTTTTGTGTTTTTTAATAAAATTGCCCATGACTTTGAAATTTTAGGGGGCGGAGATTTTTTTTAAGAGCTCAAGTGGAAATGCAAAGCGACAGCTCTGATGTGATATTACGAAGCTCGTTATGTTAAAATTAGAGTTTATGTAATTGTTTTCAGTTTACATATCCAGTATAGGTGTTATTCATTCAAGGCAGTCATAATTGTTCATAAATGTATTATTATTAGGCCCGAGAGTTACCGGATCCAAGCAAAGAATTACCGGAACGCACCCTTTCAAAATAATAAGAGTTCCCGGATCTTGTTCCAGCAGGATTAGGCACTTGTTGTAAGTAAATAAGTAAACCAGTAAATATAATAAACTGGTAAATAAGTAAACTTAACATATACAGTATATGATAATGAAATGATAAAAATGGTAAATTGTTTTAAAAAATGAACTGGTAAATTCTCTTTATTTTCCTCGTCAAACAGTGCGTCAATGCATTTTTGTTGTCTCTTTCTATGAACTGCTGTTTCCAAGCAAGTTATTTTCATTAAACCAAAAAGCTTTGTTTTCTTAAGTCAAAAGAAGGAAAAGGCTTTAGAAACAAGCTAATAAATCTACTAATAAACCAGTCTGCAGCTGGATCATTACAGTCAACTCACCTTAACGTCTCATACGTAATCATTTGTCCCAGTCTTACAATATTGGTTCTTTCAATCACTTCAGTATTAAGGTGAAGAACAACCCCCCCCCCCCCCCTCCCCTTTTTTTTCCCCCTAATAAGCAAGAACTACGTATGCATGTTTTCATTTATGTTTTTGCATTAATTCAGGTGACTCCAATGTCTGACCGAGACTTTGGTCGGTACAACTGCACGGCGCGGAACAACATCGGCGTTCGATACCAAGAGTTCATTTTGGCGCAGGCAGGTGAGTGTGGGAGCTTTTAACCCGAGCTAATGAAATGCATGTTATAATTTCAACTCGAGAACGTGTAGAGCCATCGACCCAACATCCTCCTCGAACAGCGCCTCCAAACCGCCTTCTAACCCTCAACCAACCCCTCAGTGCTCTTCAACTAATGGTAATCGCTTTCTTTTGCAATCCTCAGGAAGATAAATCTCCCAACAAGTCCAAACCTCTCTTCAGCATGGCCTAATCTGAAATAGTGCTGTCTGATTTACCACACCCCTCACTATTTACTGAAGTACCCCTAATTTACTGTAGAACGGTCGAATACACAAAAGTGCAGTCCAATTATCTTTAGTGCAGATTGAATTGCTCTGGCTTAAAGTAGCGAGCAAAAAGAGCTGACCTCATACGGAGTCTTCTTGGAAACAATGTGTTGTGGAAGTTGTTTTGACGCTCGCAGTTCTGTACGAATGCAAAAACTCGCTCGAAGAAAGGAAAAATGTTTGCTACAGCTTTAAGGTTTGGGTGATTAACAGTCAGAGACGTTAAATCATCTGGTAGTAACTCAGTTAGTTTGCAAAAGTTAAATATTATTTAACGAACACCGACAATAGTATCTGTTTATATTTGTGTGAATGTTTATGAAGCATTCACACGATTGCGATCCATTTTTTCTTCCGTAAGTTTTTTCGGCATCTTTCTCGTTTCACAATTTTTGTGCTATTTCAAGAATACATCAAAACATTCAGCTCTTTCAGGACAATCCTGCTATGACGTTTGGTATTGGTGCAACTTTGGCTTTTTCAAATATTTAGCCTTTTCTGCCATTGTTTTTCTCATAGAAAAAGAATTGAGATCATTTTACTTGCTTCAAATCTTTAAATGCGTGTACAACCTTTTACTGCTCTTTTCACATTTTGTTCTGCTTCAGCTTCTTTCAGCATCCTTGTGCAAATTTTAACTTATTTTTTTTCTGCAAATTTCTGCTGTTTTTTGCTCCTTTCAGATTCTTTCTGCTAACAACAACACTTTTGTGCTTCTTGTTCTAACTTCTTTCAGCTAATTTCAGCTTGTTGTGCTCCTTTCAGCTTATTTCTGCAAGTTTCAGCCTTTTTTGCTATTTCTGTTTCATGCTAATTTAAGCTTTTTCGGCTAATTCCATAATTTTTGAACTCGTTTCAACTTTTTCCAGCCTAATTCAGCAAAAATGTGTTCTCTCCAGTTCTTTCAAGCAATTTAACCTTCTTTCTGCCTTTTTTTAGCAAATTTTCAGCCGTTTTTTGCTCATTTCAGCTTTTTCTGATAATATCCACTTCTTTTTGCATTTTTCTTCTTGTTTCAGCTTTTTCTGCTCTCCCTATTTAACTCTTCGATGCTGATTTTAGCTGTTTCAGCTAATTCCACTTTTTTTTAGGTCACTTCAGTTCTTTTCACTTCCTTCTGGTAGTTTAAGCTCCTTTTTGCCTTTTCAGCTACTTTTAGCTATTTTTCTTAGCTAATTTCCAAATGTTTGTGCTAATTTCTGCTCATTTAAACTTAGTTCGGCAAATATGTGTTCTTTCTGCTTTCTTCTGCTAACTTAGGCTTGTTCTTCCATTTCAGCTACATTTCAGCATGTTTTTAGCCAATTTCATCTGTTTTTCAGCAAGTCCAACAATAAGCATTCACACTGCATTTATGCATGCAATATTTCTGGTTTATGTTTAAAATTGTGCGATTTGTCTTTTTGGTGGATCCTGTTATTTAGAACTGCTTAATGGTTATTCTGGAGAAATTTTTTTGGTGAAGGTATCTGTTAAGACAGCAAAAAAAACCAAAGCTAATTTCCCCAAGAATGTTTTGTACATATTTACTTGGTCAGTGAAGCAAGGGGAGCAGTTGCACCCCCTTGGGGGGGTCAAAATTTGTATATGTACCCCTGATCTTATAACTCCTAGCTATTAGACAAATGTTTGTGGTTTTCATTGATTTTCATTTGTGCTTTTTAGTTACAATCTAAAAATGTGTTGTTAAAAATAACTGCTACATTCTAGACTACCCACCCCCTTGTTTTCAGTGCACCCGTTGCTCACTAATCAGACCCCATTCAGCTGTGGAGCTGAGAAACAAAGCAAAAGTTGATTTTTTTTATTTATTTTTATTATTAAAACCATGGTGCATCTTTTTCAAAAATAGTTTGAGGATTATTTTGTTATCCAACAATGTTCAGTCAGGTCATCTGGACGGTTTCTCTTTTGTGCTGAGACGTTTCACCCTCCATCCGAAGGGCTTCATCAGTCTGAGGAAACACCAAACAAAACTGATTCTCCACCAAGAGAACCCAGAGACCATCTTAGCACCAACATAACTGTTTTTTTGTTGTCGTTTTTTTTAACGCTTCGGAGTAGTGTTGGTGGAGTATTAGTTTTGTATGTTTCCTCAGACTGATGAAGCCCTTCAGATGGAGGGCGAAACATCTCGGCACAGAAAAGAAACCGTCCAGATGACTTGACTCAACTTTGTTGGATTTTGTACCTGGATTATTGAGCATGAACTTTGGTGAATATTGTGCCATCTATGTAGGAGCAACAACAAATATCGAAGTTGATAAAAATTGTAATGCCAATCTGTAGAAGTACTGTATGAGTTTTTGATAGTTCACACAAAACTGGCTGTAAAATCAATGTAGTTGTATTAAGCAGAAATATTTAATGTGCTTAACTCGTTTTGTTACTGTTGTTTCTAGACGTACCATCGAATCCGTACTCCGTTCGTCTTTCAGCCGTCTCCCAGCGCCTAGCCACTGTCACATTCATGAAGCCGGACTCCCATGGTGGTGTTCCCATCAGCTATTATCTGGTCCAGTATAAGGAGCTGGGCTCCCAGGACTGGAGAGATGTCCGGTCACACAGTGTCCAAAGTAAGTACTAAGTGAAGTTTTATCTTAAACTTGTTTGTCCCACTCTTTAAAACTGTTGTGCAATATTGACAGGAAATTAGGCTCCAGTCCACTGAATAAGCCTCTGAGTATGTGTCATGATGTCATATCAGTGTATGGTTTGGCAGCTTTGAGTGTTCAGTGCAGCAAATTGAAACAACAAACTACTTGTTTTAAAAGTAGCTAAAGATTTACTGTATTTTTCGCCCTATAGGTCGCAGTTTTTTGCATAATTTGCATGCCCTGTGACTTAATACACCGAAGTATGGTATGGTATAAATATTATTCATTTTAAAAAGGTACAAAACACTGAAGTGACACATTTATGGATTTTTTTTTCCCTATATTTATAAACCAATTTGTGGCTGAGATATGACTGTTTTCATTCATTCTGTCATGTTCGGCTGTCAGGTGTGTTTGAACCCACGTGCAGGAGGATGACAAGGCCGCTCGAGGAATAGTCAAAATATTTGTGACAAAACAAAATCAAAACGCTGACAGGGCAGCTATTCACAGACTGATCGGACAGACGGAATGGAAGGCTGAACACAACACCATAAAAGGACAATTCCGAGACAAAGACAAGACACCAGTGAACTGAATATATACACACACTGATTAGGACAATGACAGACACCTGCGGTGATTAACATTAGACGCAAGTGAGACAGGGACTGAACACAAAGAGGGAAAACACAGAGAGCTGAATCAGGAAACTTGGGGAATCAGACAAAGACAGGACAAAAACACAGAAACCCTACAGTATCCCCCACTCAAGTGATGGCTCCTGACATCCCAAGGACATGTGACATCCAGCTTGGGTGGGAGGCGGGACAAAAGAGGACAGAGCAGGACAAGTAGACACAGGTCCAAAAGAACAAAAAACCGACAGGAAAACCTGGGAAACGCAAGACACAAAAACCCAAGACCCCAACTCAGGGTCAAGGTAGACGGTCAGGAGACCGTCCCAGGCAGGTCTAATGTTCAGGCGGACGGTCCGGTGATCGTCCCCAACAAGCCAGGGGATCAAGAGGGTGGCCAGGAAACCATCCACTTTCAGGCCAGAACTCCGGTGGGTGGCCAGGGGGCCGTCCATCTCGGGAGTAGTACAGGCGTCCATCTATGCCCTCCTGGACTCAAGCAGGTGAGGACCTCTTCGAGCAGACCAGGGGGTGGACCAGGAGTGAGGACCTCTGAAGATGGGCCAGAGATGAAGACCTCTGAAGACGGGCCAGGGACGAAGACCACTGCAGACGGGCCAGGGATGAAGACCTCTGCAGACGGGCCAGGGACAAAGTCCTCTGGAGACGGGCCAGGGACAAAGTCCTCTGCAGACGAGCCAGGGATGAAGTCTTCTGCAGATGGGCCAGGATCTTCTGCAGTCAGGCCCGAAACAAAAACTTCAAACGGGCCGGGATCTTCTGCGGTCGGGCCCAGAGCGAAAACCTCAGGCGGGCCGGGATCTTCTGTGGTCAGGCCCGGAGCGAAAACCTCAGGCGAGCCGGGAGCTTCTGTGGTCAGGTTTGGAGCGAAGACCTCAGCCGATGAGCCAGGAGCGAAGACCTCAGTTGACGAGTCTGGAGCGAAGACCTCAAGAGGACCAGGGACGAGGACCTTAGCAGACCTGCTGATGGAGACCTCAGATGAACTGGGAGCTTAAGCAGAGCCAGGGACGAGGACTTCAGCAGACCCAGTGATGAAGACCTCAGATGAACTGGGAGCCTCAGCAGAGCCAGGGACAAGGACCTTGGCAGAAAAGGTGTGGTCCAGGACTGCAGCAGCAGGTGGTGGAGACGGGGCTGCAGCAGGAAGACCGGGGACCAGGACTGCAGCAGGAAGACCGGGGCTGCAGCAGGAAGACCATGGACCAGGACTGCAGCAGGAAGACCGGGGATGCAACAGGAAGACCAGGGACTGGAGCTGCATCATGAGATGGGTTCAGAGCTGCTGCTGGGGAGTCGGGGACATAAACCAGAGCTGCAGCCGGTGGTGGAGGAACCAGAGCTGCAGCAGGTGGTAGAGGAGGCAGAGCTGCAGCAGGTGATGGGGCTGAAACTATAGCAGGTGGTGAGACCGGGACTGCCGCAGGAGATGGAACGATGAACCCCTCTGGAGGACTGGAGTGAGGAGCATCCACCTGGGTCTCCTTGTGGCAGGGCAGAAATGGATCCAGATATGTTGCCACTATGGAAGCCTGCCACCGTTCCAGCTCCTCCAGCGAGGGAGGGCTGTACTGCTCCTCCAGCAAGTGGGGGCATGGATTCCTCTCCCCTAGCGAACTCCCCCCCCCCCC